GAAAGTAATTTAAATCGCACATTAAGAAATACAATAGTCTTGCTACTTTTGTTGGGGGGGGGGGGCAGAGTAGAATGAAACAAAGAATGGCGTTTTTGGCACCCCCCCCTTTGTCCATCTATAACCTATACTTCCGTTGCTTGTAGAAATTGGCAACAACCTAGACAAATTGCCACATTTTAACCCTTTCAGACCTGATTTTTTTTATTTTCGCTAATCGATCTGAAAAAACGACTGCAACTAGGCTATTGTAAACAGATCTAAGAAAAGATAAATAAATCCTGATTACAAGCTTACAAGAAAAACAGCTTTTTCTTTTTGTGTACAAGTGTACACATCCGTCCAACGTAATGAAAATATAAGTGTTAATGGATGTTTATCTATAATGATAAAAACATTTATTTTACAACTTTTTACTAGGAAATACGAAGCAATATGAAATAACAAATATTTTTATCAGTATTCTCTTTATAAAAATTAACAAAAATGGCTTTTTCTTTGGGTAGATTTAACAAATTGAACTTAAATCACAGTCTAAATTAAAATTAAAATCAAAAACATCAATATAGCATCCTATGTATGAAATGCTAAGCAGCAATTCTTGTTCTTAGTTAGGCATAAGTGAACCTTGCATTTTATGCATTTGATTCGGGTTCTACCTGAGCATCCCATCATTTTACACCGTGTCCCAAGCCCCTCATCGTGTGCAGAAAAATGCCCAAAATCATCTCGGGTTATTTCAGCTTCTGGGCGTGACTCTCCTGGTCTCCTAGGTACAATTTGAAGAGTTGGGCTACTGCCAACTTGGACGACCTCTTTTTCCGGAAATTTTGTTTTGCAACACCAGACTTTCAGCCAATCAACACCGAAAGTTAAGCAATGACAGTTTTTTGTTTTTAGGTATGCTAAGCGCCTCACTGTCGACTTGGTATTCTCTGTATGCTTGAACTACTGCTAAATCTGATGCATTGAATATCATGCGTATGGTCCATTTTTTTGATTTTATAAACGTCCTATAGTAACTCATGAGTTGATCTAGCAAATTTACTCCTCCCATCACATGATTGTACTTCCTTACAACTTCGGGACGTTCCACTTCAATAAAATGCTTATCCTTTTTATACCACCTCTTCACTAAATCTTTTTTACCAATTCCAACAAAATTAGATGCTAAATGGGGAATCTTATTATCCAACTATTTGACCACAGTTACTTCTTCATCATAGCTAGTCATTTCTTGAGCAAAGCCCCGCGATTTTTTGTTCATTTCTTTGTCGCTTAGCAACGATGACTTTACAAATCTGTTGATACGGATAGTGCCAGTAGCCACAATTCCTCTCTGTTTTAAAATTTGTAGCAGATGGTAGGACGAAAAAGAATTGTCGAAGTATAGCTGGTGACCTTTGCTTTCTCCAATTCTCTTTGTAAGATGAAGGACTACAGCTGCACCATATCCAATTTTTGGCGCTACTTCATCTTTCCACCCCCCCTTGTTTTTTAAAAAAAATCATTATAATTTTTAAAAAAATGATTGGCTACAAAAAAATTAAAATCTAAACATTTTTAATAGTCTATATAATGCAGTCCTAAGCGTCTTGTTACGCTGTTTTAGACGTTTCGTTTCCTCCATTGCCATTCATTTAAAAAAAATTAATTCTCCTTTTATTAATACCGCCACGTTTTCGATAGGCATGCTTAAGGTGTGACCACGGGTTTTCAATTTTGTTAGTATGTGCTCCTTGAGCATTAACAAACCCAACAGTGTGGTTTACCACTTCATGGCAAGATCCAAATTCAGTAACAGCTTTAGGTTAAGATGGATAACCATCAGTAACAATGATAGATCCGGGCACAACATATTCTTCGAACATGTCTAGTATAGTCGGATCCTTTCTGTTAGGAACAAGCTTTAGAACAAAATTCCTACAGTTTCCCTCTTCTACACCACCCACTAATCATTGTACGTTAGGTTTGTTGTCTAGGGCACTAGATGGGTTGGGTATTAACACCCCATTACAGATAGCAGTTTCGTCAAACTGCACCCCAATACCTTCTTCACCCGTTTTAACCATTTCTGGTTCTTATTCGGATATTACTTGCAAGATCAGATCTTTGATTTTATGTAAGTGTTCTCCGAACAATCGCAGAAATTAATGGCCCGTGCTAGGGTACAATCATATACCCAGCAATACATTCCCCTAAGAACTTTTACAAATTCTATATTAAGGGAGGCCATTAAACACCCCTTCTTTAGGCTTGCCTTTGATCTGCATGCCTTAGAAGAGCATCTGTAAGCATACCCATCTATATACGCGGCAGCCACCACAATCCTCATTCTGTTATCACATCTCACACAATTTATTTCTTTTTTTATAATATTAAATTTGTATAAAATATCTATTGTCTTAGTATTTTCCAGAAAAAATGCTTTGTTATGTTTAAAACAAAAAATTTTCTCTTTTATATTTTCCATAATAAGGGTTAAAAAATAATTCTTTTTTTACCTTTACTTCATCTTTCCATCCCCCCTCCGAATAACTACGTTCACTTTAAAAAAATTTGTACGTAGTTATTCGGAAGGGGTTAAAAAATGAAGAAGCGCCCAATTTTTTTGTTAAATTGTTATCTAATTCTGGACTGGAACTCTGAAAAAGGATAAAATCGTAAGCTTGACCATGTTTACCACATAAGAAAAAGATTTCCAGACCCCGTGGACAAGGCTTGCCCTTTATATACTGTTTGGCAACATGTTTTCCGGTGAAAGGAATAATCTGTTCGTCAACACAAAGGTTTTTTCGAGTGGTAAATCTAAACATCTCTTTCTAACAGTATCAAAGATCAGGCGCACTTCGATAAGCGCATCTTTAGAATTACCTGATATTGCTGTATTATCAACTAGATGTAAATTGTTACGCAGCTCAAAAAATCGGTCCCTTGCCATGTTTTCAGTAAACAAAGGAATGCTGATATTTGTTTCCCGATACATTTTCAAACAAGGATACCCAAATATTTCAGTGGCCAAATGCAATCCAGACAATATTTCTATTTCTTTGGCAGTAGTAGGTTTAAGACTTACTTTATTAGAATATGTAGCGTATAAGTTTGCCATTTCATCCATAACCTGAAATAATTGTTTTGGTACATATCTGTTATAATAATCTACTGGGCTTTCAACTCTGGGATCAATAGCAATGGATGGAAACCAAGCTGGTGAAATTGTGTTTATTATTTCCTTGTGTCTCCACCTAATACTATGCTTCGGCGTAATATTCTGTAAAAGCGTATATTCAGAGGCGGAAGGCATTTCTGGTAAAAAGTCATCACTCATTTCAACCATAATGAGCCAGCGTCTTAATCATCATCCAAAGCCGAGGGAAATATTTCTCGTTGGTTCCGGCTGATGATATCTGCTCCCACTCGGACACATCGTAGACCAGTTCAGACGCAGGTCCAACCAGTCCTTCGTCATCAGAAGATAATTTTAAATCAGAAAAGCAACTTTCTTTTAGTGATATAATAGCATCGCGCAAAAACATTGGTAATTTCTTATCTAAAAAAGTATTAACACAATTTGTAACATCAAAAACAACAAAATTACACCATTTAATAACAATTATAATTTATTTTAGTACTACCTACGATGTACAACGACAAATGAGAAATACATTGTATGCGCCTGATGTGTACATTTGTGTATAAATATAAAAATCACGAAAATTTGTACAAAAATAAACCAAAACCAACAACATGTAGGTAAAATATGACGACAACAATATAACACATCGACCTATAAATATTTCATTACCTAAAATTTGATAATTTCCACTTTTTAGAAATAAAATAATGAACTTATCTGCACAATGCAAACTTCGGTCTGTTACTGGACATAAATTGCCAAAAACTCTCATTAAACGCCAAGAGATGGCTTTGGTAATAACGTTTTCGGTAGTTAATTATGTGAACTAATGAACACAACCGTTTTTAGTTGCAAATAATGTGAAATTAAGACTTAAATTTGTTTTTATATTATATGTGTACAATTGTGTATGCCTGGTCTGAAAGGGTTAAGCATGAAATGGTGGAGCTTATAATATTATTGCTCATAAGAAAGTTTTTTAGCACATCTAAATATTGAAAAGTTTCATGTTCTATTGTAATATTCATAGGGGTTATTTTAAGAAATTTTTAAATCGTTTGCTTTTCTAAAAAAATCATTAATACTTTATTTAAATAATTTTGATAACTATTTGGTTTTATATGTACTTTTGTTATTAAATTAAAACAACTTTTTGTATTTATGAATACAGATATATAAGGTAGTATTAAATGATGTAGTATTAGATTAGGTAAAGTAGTATTGGATAATGTAGTATTTGGTGGGTAATATTAGATTAGGTGGTTGGGTTAAGTAATTAGATTTTGATGATGATGATCGATTGATGGTAAGATAGTTTGGTTAGTAGCATTGAGGTTGGTAGTATTGAAAATAGTAGTATTTTGGAGATTAAAAACAACAACATTAGTTTTTTGAAATTCTCTCGGTTTATACAAAAATATCTAGATGGTTGCTCACCTTTCCTTTTTGCCTACCAGCTTGCTGTGCCTATTGGTTTCTTGACTTATTATCTTTTTTTTATTTTTTTAGCCTTTATTTTTAGGTTGAAAAGATGATAGGCAAATTCTTGGAGAAGACCCACCGCGGGGCTTCTTACAAGAGACACATTGTAGACCTACGAAAGCGACTTAATAAATATAATCCAAATAAAAGCTTTACCACGGGCAAAGTGACGTGCATCATTGAGAGTTTCCTTGGTTCTGGTCGGTTGCTTGCCAATATTGCCAGACTATTATTGGAAAAATTTTGAAACAGGGGCAATTTTTAAAGCTCAATTCTTAATCTTAAATGATCTAAATGCTAAATGTATTTCTGTTGGTAAGTTTAATGATATCAAAAATGTACTTAAAGTATGGATCGATGTGCGGGAACCTAGAAATAATCCAGTTTCTGACAATTTTATTAAATATAAGGCCGAAGACTTTGCAAAGCAATTTGGTATTGAAAATTTGGCTAAACTGCTATTCATGATACGAAAAGTGGGTTGGGGTTTTTTTAAAAATTTTGTCCCTTGTTTTTGGAAAATCAACTGTAAAAAAATGCAAAAACAAGATAGAAAATTTGTAAATTTTTGAAAAACTTAAAATTTTAAAAGAAAAATTTAATTAACTTTTTAGTAGCTTTTCCTCTTTCAATTCTCATACACATGTATCTAAATATATAGAACACACAAATAACAGGTTTGTACTCTTGGAAGGATCGATGCCTTTAAAAATCTCCGGTTCAATTCAATAGTGTAGTGTGTACACCCATATGAGGATTCTGAAAGTGCAAGGAGTGGTTTACTTACTACACGGAGGCTTCTAAAAAGGCGTCTCATATTTGTATAACCTCGCCAGAAACCAGTATAAATGATTGAATTATGATGTAAATAAGAAATAATGGAATTAACGTATCTGCATTTCTTCTTTCCACATAATAATAGCTTTTCTTCTTTCAAAGGTTCTTTCTATTATTCCAACAGCCCAAAATTCTGTAATCACATGACCTCTATTGTGTTTGTTCTTTCCTATTTTAATTTCATCTACTTCTACAATACAATTAGAGAAACTCAAGAAATTGCACGATTTTTGATATATAAAAAAAAAAATTACCCCTATTTTGCACCTTCATTTTGTAAAAATAATGATATAAATTTTTATTTTTATAAAAAGTAACTTTTGCGAAATAAATAATGTCAAATTTCAAAATTATTTTGTTTTAAATTCTAAATTAAAACTTGTATTATACATTATAAAACTTTTATTCGTATTTGTAAAAAAGAGAAATATATAGTAAATCCTTTAACATTGTTGTTGGTTGATTTCTCCAAAGCATATATTTAAGGAGATATATTTTTACTAATAAAGCAGTTCTACTTCTGTGGTGCACATTTCTTTTTAACCCCGACCAGTTTTCTTCTATAGTATTTGTATGCACATTACCAATTTTATTTAACAATTCTTTTAAATGATTTACGGTTTTGCGTGCAAAATAATGAAGTTTTAAATGGAGATGGACTTTTCAACAGCCACTGTAAATTACAGAATATGGTAAGATGTATTTAAACATAATATTTTCAAGTTCTGTTCTATTTCTTTTTATCACCCAACATAACAAAATTCTACGAGTATGGCGCTTAACTGCATCAAAGATTCAAACTCCGTCAACCCCATGACCTCTACTATATTTTCTTCTCCCCAGCTTTTTTGTCAATCTCTATTATATTTTCGTTTCTTCCACAAATTAATGCTCTCATGATATTTATTATATATTAATTCTTTATTAAATTTGTAAATCATATCAGAAACTTTATTTTTTGATATTCTTGAAATAAGCTCAAATGGAAGATTGTTAAAAAATAAATCAACAATTTTTAAAAGGTCGAAGGAGAAATTTTAAGGGAAAAGAAAACAGTATGTTTAAAAGTAGAATATCTTATTTTACAAAGCTTATCTTTACAACGTACTATTAATATGCCATATTGTACAATTTACGATCCACATTATTGGCAACAACGAGCAAAAATACATAGTGAACTCACGTTTAATTTTTTTTCATATTGTTCCTCTTGTTGTAACATCAAAAGATAAGGATAAAAAAATTTTTTTTTGAGTATATCAAAAATTGTGCAGTTTTTAGTTGTTTTAACCCAACATTTTTCACCACCCAAAGGTCTGATTGATTGCAGATAAAGATTAAAAATTCAAAACTACGCATAATTTAAAAAATATTCCAAATTTAATCCTTTGATCCACCAAGAATATTAATAATTAAATCAACTGATGCTCCAATTGACAACATATTTATAATTTTAAGAATAAATATAAAACCGATTCTAATATTACAAAAGCAGTGTTCTTCCACATAGAAAATGAATACCTACTTACATTTGGACTAAGTACAAATTAAATTGGCATTGTAATTATCTTGTATATTGATCTGTGGCAAAAAAAAACTTTTATTTCTGTCTTATTAGAACATTTTTGGCAATATTGTTGTGATTTTATACTATTAAATTAAAACAAAGGAGCAGGAGACCTCTAAAGGCCCCCTTTTGAGGGTGTTTAATTTTTTTAACCCCTAATTTTCACGAACACAATGAAGAGACAAGATAAACTAATTTTGAATATTTTTGAAGACGAAGTGCATAAAAAGCTGTTTGAAAACGTTTTTATTGTTTGGGGGAGATATAGCTGGGCATGGAGCAATAAAAATGTTATTGGGTGCACAAAGAAAAAGTGCAGAAGAAAGGCTTTTCTTTTTAAAAAACCCCGTTTTATAATGCAAAATTATGCTGGAAAATAATTTGCAGAGCCATTTTTTAATTCTATATACAAATTCTGTCAAAACCATATGTTCAATAACTGATATGAACAAAAAGACAGTCAGAAAAATATTTAAGAAGGTCGGACACTATTTAAAAGACCTCAGATTATATGCGGAGAGGCATCGTTGTCAAAATCGACGAAAGTAAATTTGGCAAGCGGAAATATAACCGTGGTCAAAGAGTTGACAGCGTTTAAAACTGGAATGGTTGAAAGAACACCTGAACGACGCATTGTTTTACTTCGTTTGAAAAAATGAGATAAATTAACTCTTAATACTTTAATTACCAAATACGTTGCCAAAGAAAGTATTATACATACTAACAAGTGGAGAGGTTATAGTGGATTAACATCTCTTGGATACAAACATTATACAGTTAACCATAGTAAAAACTTTAAAGATACAGAGACCGGCAATCACACGAATACTATTGAAGGAAGTTGGTGTGCTATAAAAAAAGACAATTCATTTAAGAAAAAGAAATTATACATTAATCAAACCTTATCTTAAAATCTTTAGGTTTTCAAGACTGTTTGGTAAAAAAAAATTTAGAACTTTTATTAGACTTTATTAAATATTTTAATTAAATTATTTATTTTCAAAAACCCTTTTAAATTTTTTTTCACGAACACAATGAAGAAGAAAAAACAGAAAATAATTCAATTTTTTCTCTAAATTTTGTTCATGAAAATTGGGGGTTAAAAAAAAAGAATCTCCCTCAAAAGGAAACCTTTAAAGGTTTTTTAGCCAAAATAAAAATTATTTAGTCCTCCTCATTACTCATTCATCATTCTCGCATTTTGGAGATTTATTTTTAGGGGGTAAACTTTTTTAAAAAACCCCTAACCCATTTTTTGTTACATGGATAGCAGTTCAGCCTGGCTAAGATTAATTTTGGGTCATTAAAATCCTCCTTTGAAAAAAGTAAAGTGGTTTTAAAAATTATAAAAAAACATCCTTGATATGAATGAATCAGGACAGCTTTTTTCGTATGAGGTTCGCCAAATGTATCTCTATTGCACCTATTAAAGGCTTTAAAAAGCCTATAACAAAAATTACTTTAGCATTTACTGTGTCTTTAGAGGAGAAAAGGCCAATGTTTTTGGTTATAGGAAATGCACGAAGGCCAAGATCTCTTAAAATTTTAATAGTCACCAGTACGTGGACCATGCACATTCAAAGAAAAGTTGGATGAAAAGCTCTATTTTTAATATTTACCTCAATAATCCTTGTGGTATTCATGCACGTCAGTACCGGGCTATCTGATGTGAGAAAGTTAGTACCAATAATATAAGTAATCGCGCACTTTACGCTAATTGGGTTTGACAATGAAGCATCGTGTTTTTTGTAAAATATAAATACGAAGTTTCTATCAGAAGATTAAAGACGAAGAGATAAATAAATTGTTTACGTCTGAAAATCTTAATGAAAAAATAGAATCAAAAAATCGTAAAATATTATTTCCTGTTGATAACTGTCCCGCTCATAAAGTCACATTTTTGTATAGTCACATAAAAATTGTTTTTTTTGCCACCAAACACTACAAGTATCTTTCGACCCCGGGATTTAGAAATCATAAGATCTTTAAGTGTAAATTTGGAAAAAAAATTGATTGGGCGTGTAATACACATGATAGATAATAATCTAAGTCTGTAATATTGATGCATAAAAAAATATTTCAATTAACAATGCAATTATTTTTCCTATTTAGCTCGGGATGAATTAGAACCAAAGACTATTATTCAATGTTTTAAGAATTCTCCTTTTTACAATAAGCGCACCGAGCCAGATTTGAATGATTCTTATATGATTAAAGATAAAAATAAGATCAAAGAATTAATTGACAAGTAAAAGTTATTCCAGGAGTTTTTTATTGATGATATGAATGAGATTCCTGAGGAGAAAATAGTCGATTGTGATTTCAAAGATGATTAAATAATTGAAATGGTTAAAAATAAGGATAAGCGTCTTATCGATGAATAAGAGGAATGTATTAACAGTGAAGTGAAAAATTAAATAAAAACGAGATTGCAAAAAGATATAAACATTGCCAGCAAAACTCTTAAAAATTATTCAAATATACCAAAACAAGTTTTTAAATCAATCTTATCTGTTGTGGTCATCAAGTTGATTTACTAAATAGCGTTTATTTTTTCTCTTTTTCTTTTTCTCGTTTTTTCGCATATTTATGTAAATATGTGAAATTGTGTCTCGGAGTAAGACCACCGGTTTTAAATTCTAAAACGATTTTAGCAATAATTCATTCTTGTTGAGCTTAATGGACGCTAACACATATCTATCAAAAACTATTAATATAAAAAAAATTCTAGCCATAACAATAATGTTATTTGACAGGATAAATCATAAAAAAGCAAATAAAGTTAAAAATTTTTAATAATTTGCTTTTTTAGTACTTTACGATATGTATTTTCTTTAAAAAAACAAAAAAATCACTTAAATGAAAACTTTTAGAAATTGTGACATAATCCCTAACAAATCGAGCTATTTTCTTAAAAACCAAAAATTTTATTCAAATGTGCCTCAATTAGCCGGGTTAACTGTATAAAGCAATAATTTCGTTTTTATCCAACATTCAACACCTCCAAAAATGAAAGCTATGTGCTCAGGGTTTTTCGAGTGATCAGAATACGAGCGTCTCAAATTATCTTATAGTAGACATAAAAGGTTGTAAACAATGAGTAAACTTTAAAAGAATAAAGCTCTTGAATGGAAAGTATTAATGATGCAGCAAGAATATGATTCATTTTAGCATTTGTTTGTATAACTTAATTAAATTTGTTAATAACAAAACTTTTAAGAAATAAGCCAGCAAAAATATCTTTATCTTCTTTTATTTCATTTATTAGTATGTTTGTTTTAATTTACATTTTTCTATAAATAAAAATTCGTAACTTAACTCCAAGAGAGAAAAAGTATACAATGAAAGCTCGCAATTTACCATATAACCAAAATACAAATGTAAACATTAATATTTATAACGCACACTTTTTCAAACATGACAACGTTATAGATAAAATATTAATATGTAAGGAAGATTAAAGCATATAAAGGTCTAGTATTTTTATTAATTAGACAAAATTTCCCGGTAACTTAATGGTTAATATAGTGAAATTAATTTAATACTAAATAAAATATTACCCTTAATTAAAGGCTAAATTATAAGTTTTTTATACATTATAAAAAATGTCTTTTCGTTATTAATTTCGGTTATTTAACACTTCTTTAAATCTCTCATTCTGTCCTATTACTTTGTTTCCTGTCATACATTACACCTTAAACGACCAGTTACCTTTATCTTTTTTGTTAAGCAGTGTAAATATTAAGATACAACATGAACTGTCTCTTAACGAAGCATTATTATAAAATTGTCTTTTAATTATTAACTTAAAAAATTAACTTTTAATTTTATAGTATAATTTGCAGACTTCTTGCCTCTAATTTTTTTAAACCTACAAAGCACAGTTTTTACAATTTTAGTGTGTTTCTTTCTATAATGTTATTTAATAAACTCCTAATTATGAATAGTTCTTATTTAAATTAAATCTTAAAAATTTCCAGTATATTTATTTATCTTTAATAAATTTTAAAGCCAAACTTTCTTTAAATTAACAGTTTTTTACTCGGGTTACTTTATCTACATCAACACTTTTATTTACTTTTTTCTTGCATGGGATAAAAATAGAAGATTTTAATTAAATGATAATAAATACTAAGAAATACAGTAATATAATACCTTACCTACCTACCTACCTATCTAACCTTACCTAACCTATTAAATTTACAATCCTTACCTATTAAATTTACAATCATAACACTAATTCATCATATAAATTTACAATCATACAATATACACACCCATCTAAATTCACAACCATAACATTAATTCATTATATAACTCACTTATTTTATTATTAGTATTAAAGTTTTCTTTATTTTAAATTATTAACCCTATTTTATGTACACTCCTCAAAATAGCATAAATCCACATTCTGAAAATATGACTCTAGACAAGTTTGAAACAATGATAATAAAAGAATACACAAATAAATTATTATCTTTTGATGAAATAAAAAGTATTTGTACTAAAGCAATAGAATATAAATTGATAGAAAAGTCAGATATAAATATTAATGAAATACCTAAAGGAACTACAGAAGATTTATTAAAATTTATAAAAAGATGTAGAAATTTATATTTAAATGCTGATATATCACTAGATAATAATTCCTTTATTAGTGCTAAATATCACTCTCCCATTTCTCAAGACATAAGAAATAGTCCATTTTATAACCATAAAAAAGAACTTTTAAAAAATGAAAATAAAAAAGATGTAACATTATTTAATTCTCCACTGATAAGTAAAAATAATAATATAGAAAATCCATTTGAGAATAACAATGATTTAATATCTTTTTGTGAAGATCTTAGAACTAAAACAAAATCTATAAAAAAAAATGCGAGTGATAAAACATCTAAACTTGTAGAAGAAGTAATAGATAGTTTTTTACAGTACAAAATGAAGAAGAAGAAGAGTAGAAAATACTTGTACATTACAATATTTCTAATAATTACAGTAATAGTAATATATTGTAATTATAATTCTATGCCAATATAATAAATATACTTATTTTTTAATTATTAGAAGATTCAGCCCATTTAAAAAATTTACATGGCTTGTACGCTTTTTTACACTTAAAAAATTTCCTATTTTTATTTGCTTCTGTAAAAGACATCAAAATTTTAGGTTCAAAATTACAGTTACATTTAACATTTTCTATTTTTGTAAAATGACATCTCTGAGGTGATAATCCGCATTTATAAATTAGCTGTGTATCTTCACAATAATATTGAGATGGTACTTTACAAAAGCATTGTAAGTCATTAACTTCTTTTTTACTTATAAATTTGGTTTTATTGTATTCTTCTTTTTTACTTGTAAATTTGGTTTTATTGTATTCTTCTTTTTTATTGTTGTGTTCTCTCTTACATGTAACTTTAATTTTATTTTCGTCTTTTTCATTACATTCATTTTCTTTATTAACTTTAAAAATAATATCTTTTACTTTTTTATTACATTCATTTTCTTTAAATTTACCATCTTTTACTTTTTTACTACACTCATCATCTTTAAAATTACTACACTCACCTTCTTTAAAATTATTACATTCACTTTCTTTATTAACTTTACTATCTTTTACTTTTTTAATATCACCAAATGACACATCTCCTTTTTTATTATCAGATGATTCATCATCACTTATATTAAATTTATCTAAAACATCTATTTTAGATTTTATTGTATTTTCTACTACCTCTCTAAATATTTTAATGTTATCATTAAAATAAATATATAATTTTAAATATGTATTAATCTCATTATCTATTACACTCTTCTTATTAATTTCTCCTAAACATATTTTTTTTAAATTAATTTCTAAATCTCTCCGTAAAAATGGTTTATTAACTTCCATATTTAAATGTATAAACCCTTTAATTAACCCTATTCCTAATTTCTTAGGTATAATATAATTCTTAAATTTGTATACATATCCTCTTTCCTGTATTTTTTGTATATGTTCATGAATTGTAGCATCTGTTCCTATTCCATTTTTATCCATTAATGTAATTAATTCACTCTCTGTTAAAAAATATGGTGGTGTAGTTCTACCATTTTTTATTTCTATACTAAATTCTTTAATTTCTTTATTTAATTCATAATCTTGTATTTCTTTATTATTCCATTTATCAAATGTGTACACATCCAAATAATTCCTTTCTGTTATTTTTAATCCTTTAATATAAAATATTTCTTTTTTAATTAATAATTCATAATATGTTTCTAATCCTTTAGCATCTGCACAAAGAGATCCTAAAAATCTTCGTGTTATAAAATCGTATAATTTTCTATCTAAACCAGTAAGATCTCCTCCACCTTTTAATGGGTAGATCGGTGAATGAGCCATATCATTATTTTTACCAGAACGTGGTAAATTTATATTATTTTTAATACTTAAAATAATATCTGTATATGTACTATCAGATATTATTTTATCTAATATATTTTTATAATTAAAATTTTTAGGAAAAGCATCTGTTTCTGTTCTTGGATAAGATATGTATCCTTTATTGTACAATGATTCTGCAATTTCCATAATTTTATGCGAAGAAATTTTAAAAATACTAGAGCATAATTTTTGTAATTCTACTGTACGTAAAGGAAGAGGTTTCATTTTAAAGACAGAAGAAACTTCTTTTTTTATAATTAATAAATTATAATTTATTAACATATTATAAAAATATGTAACACAATTTTTATCAAAAATATTCCCTCGTTTCCATGTCCATGTATCAGATTTAATATTAATTTCTAAAGAATAGAAATCTTCTTCTTTAAATTTTTCGATTTGAAAAAATCTTTCAATTACAAAACCAAGTGTAGGAATTTGACAAGGACCGAAACTAATAACATGCCTAGATTTAAAAAAAGACTTAAGAGTTAGGGTTTGTAAAATAGTAAAAGATGATCCTATTCTTAAATCCATTTCCATTCTACAATCTACTGCATCTGCTTCATTAATATTTATATTTACTAAATTTTCTAATGCTCTTGTTACATCATTTCTACTTATAGCATTAAATCTGGCTCTTTTAATTTCTATATTATTTTTTGATTTTATAATATTATAAATTTGTTGTGCTATGTGTTCACCTTCCCTATCACAATCAGTCCATATAATAACCTTATTAGCTTTGTATGACTGTTCTTCTAAATTTTTCTGTAAATTAATAAAATCTTCTTGTATTTTTTTAGTAAGTGGTTCATAAAAAAGTATTTTTGGATCAATTGATTCCCAAATGTATTTCTTACAAAAGTTTAAATTATAAATATGTCCTAATACACTTGTAAATGTAAATGTATCATTATTATATTTAAATGTAATATTTGGACAGTATTTATGTCTTCCTCTACTAGTTACAATTGATTGTGATAGTATTTTTGAGATAGATTTTGCAACAGATGGTTTTTCTGCGATATTTAAAATATGCATTAATTATGGGGTAAATATAATATTGGTAAATATATATATGATGAATGTACACTGTGTGTAATTTGCAGCTTATGTACCAATACCTTTAAATAATGTTGTCACCGGTAACAGAGAATTATTCAACTTTAGGTTTAAAGTAAAACCATCAAATATAAAACATAACTCTAAAAATAAAATTTCAAAGTGGGAATAAAAGTATTTAAGCAGGTTAAATAAATAAATAATGTTAAATAAGAAATCTAAGTCTTCTGTTACTTAACCATTACCCTTAGGGAATAAAGGTAGTAACAAATGTATTTTTTGTATGCAGGCTGTGCCATATCTATGCTTTTTTGTTTTACTACTTCTGCTTTTTTGTTTTACTACTTCTATTTTTTCATGTAATGAACTTTATGCTATTTTAAAATATTTTATATAAAATATTTTTATGTTAACAATTTGTGTAGAGATAAACAAATTTTATTAATTATTAAAATACTGTAGTAATATTTATCTATTAAATGTTATGAGATATATTGATATAAAATAAATTTCATCATTTGATTATATCACTTCATTTTATTATATCATTTGATTATATCATTTCATTTTATCATTTCATTTTATCATTTGATTTCATTTTATCATTTCGTTTTATCATTTTATTTCATTCATTCTTCACATCCACTCATTCAAAAAGTTTCTTACATCAACGTATTCAAAAAATTAATACATTTATTCATTCAAATAATTTTCTTACACTTACTTTCATACACTCATACATCCACTCATAAATCGACTTTCATTACATCCACTTTCTTTACCCCTTAATGTTCATTCTCACCAATTTCAATCTAGAAGATAAAATTCTCTTAGACATTAAAAAAGAACAAGATACATTTTCTTTTACACAACAAATAGATAACATTACAATAATAGGTAAAGAAAAAGAATATAACTGTAATTTCTATGTACTAGAAAGTACTGATGAAGATGTACTTAATCTTACAGGACTTGTAAAATCTACTGTATTAGAATGCGAAGTGGTGTATGAAACAGGTATTGTACAAAATGACTACAATGTCACTGATCTTATAAGATCATTTGGTAGTAAACACAGTATTGAAAGATTAAGGAATGTAGAGACAGATGGATACCTAAAAAGTATTAATAAAAAGGTTAGTAATAAGATACAAATACTACCAAAGATACAAGATAGTAGTAATCTACTAGATATATTTTTACTAGAAGATATGTTTAATGAAAATATTATAAAAATATTTAGTAAAATAAATATAGAAAATGTAGATCTATTAGATGTCACTAAGAGATTCTATGATGGTGCACCTGATAAATGTACTAGAATCTTATTACTCGATGCACTACTAAAACTACTTAACTTTAAATTTATTACTGATGATGTATTTGATACATCTTCTTATTCATGTTTAATACCTTTTATTAAAGATGATATAGAGAATAGAAGACTTTCTAAGATATCTAGAGATAAATTGATAATAAAAGTATATATTCTTATTTTACAACTTAGTGAAGGAAAAGTAAAGTTAAGTAGTGTACCATCTTTTAATCAGAAAATAGATACAGTAATAAGTTACTTTAGACTATTAGGATGTATTTATAATAGAAATACAGATGAGATAAAGTTGGTGAATAAACCTATGGAGTACATTAAATGATAATAATTTTAAATTATTATCATTTATATGACTAATATAATTAAGCTTATTTATTAAACTAAATTAACATAATTTTTTAAAATATAATATAAAAAATCAAAAAAACTTTTTTTAAAATATAATATAAAAAATTTTAGATAACTATAAAAAATTTATCTACAACCATTTTAAGATAAAAATAACTAAAAAAATTTCTTTATAACTATAAAAAATTTATATACAATCATTTTACCGGCAATGCGAATCGTCAAAAACAAGTTGTTTAGGCGTTGACACCAGCAATAGTCAATAAAATATGCCGGTAAAGTCGTACCGTAAGTCTATATGGCGTCGATTAAAAAGAA